GAGGCTGTGGATGCCCCATCCCTGCAGGCATTCAAGGCCAGGCTGGATGTGGCTTTGGGCAGCCTGGGCTGCTGGTTGGCCACCCTGCACATAGCAGGGGGTTGGAACCAGATGATCATTGTGGTCCTTTGCAACCCAGCCCATTCTATGATATGATATGATATGATATGATATGATTTGACTCAGAGAGGGTAAATGCAACATGACAAAGGGATCCCTATGTGCGTGATGCCACAGCACAAATGTCTGTCAAGCAGGGAGTCACTGCTCTCCGAATTCAGGAACAGCACCCTGCACCCATAGGGAATGAAAAGGAGCTGGTACAGGGTGTGAGCCCTAAAGAAAAGTCAGCATTCCACAGAGACACGAGGTGTGGGACAAGCAAGCCAAGGTGTGCAGAGTGACAACTTGCCCTGCAGGAATTCAGGGAAGGGCTCCGTTGTAGCAACCGCAGGGCTGTTGTTGGCTCGTGGCAGATAGGAGAGGCTTTGGAAGAGCAGAGAAAAAAAGCAAACATGGGGTCTAGCTTAAAAAATATGCAAAGGGAGAAGGCAGGGAATTATAAACTGGTCACTCAACTCAAACGCCTGGAAAACTGATGGAACAAATAATGAAACAAGCTACTTGTAAGTGCTCAGAAGATAACAAGATGATAAGTGACTGCTGACACAGATTTGTCAAGAACAATTTAATTTCCCTCTGCGACAGAGTAACTGGCCTGTGAATCGCTGGAGCAGCAGCAAGCACCGTATGCCTTGATGTTCATTAGATGCTGCTGCACACGGCTTCCTTGCCAGCAAAGCAGAGAGACACAGTCAGACGGAACTGTGGGCACACAGCTCATCAGAAAACCATATGGGAGTAGTCAGGAGTGGTGACCCATTGTCACCGGGGAGGTGAGCTCAGCAGGGAGCCCTGGACCCGGTGATGCTACTTGGAGTTTTGTTAGTGATAGAATCATAGAATCATTCAGGTTGGAAGAGACCTCCAAGATTCCCAATCCTGACCATCAATCCACCCCACCATGCCCACTGCCCATGTCCCTCAGTGCCACATCTCCATGGCTCTGGGACACCTTCAGGGATGGTGACCCCACCACTCCTGGGCAGCTGTGCCACTGCATCTCTGCTCTATTGGAGAAGTTTTTCCTAATATCCAACCTGACCCTCCCCTGGAGCAACTTGAGGCCATAACCTTTCATCGTATCAATAGGGTGATGTGACAGATGTGACAGATGTATTTGATGTACACGCCCATGAAATGAAGATTTTGATGTCCACCTGTAGGGTCGGCAGCAACCAACCCAACATTTCCAACAACCTTATCACACAACGACCCTAAAAAAGGCACTGCTCAGCATCTGGCTAACACAATCACAGAATGGCCTGGGTTGGAAGGGACCTCAAGGATCACGAAGCTCCAACCCCCCACCACAGGCAGGGCCACCAACCTCCACATCTCACAGCAGCCCAGGCTGCCCAGGGCCCCATCCAACCTGGCCTTGAACACCTCCAGGGATGGACGGGGCATCCACAGCCTCTCTGGGCAGCTGTTCCAGCACCTCACCACTCTCACAGCAAACAACTTCCCCGCTGACATCCAATCTCAATCTTCCCTCCTTCAACTTAAAACCATTTCCCCTTGTCCTGCTGTTATGCACCCTTTCAAAGAGATGAAACAAACAAGCCCTAATGTCAGCTCCCTGACACAAACACCAGTGAGCAGCAGCAAACAGCACTCTGGCTTCACATTCCCATTTCCAGGCATGCAACTGTTTTAATAGGAAGCCACTAGATGGCTTGCTGGAAGCGCTGCTGGCTCTCCCTGGAACTTTCTGCAATGGCACACACTTCCCTGCAGCCCCAGCCTCCTCCCCATCCCTGCTCACCATCGTGTGACGCAGCTTTGGGTGGGACGGAACCCCGGTTCTGGCAGCAGAACCGAGGTGTTGGTGCTCAGTGCATGCAGAGATGAGCACGCTCTGCTGCTTAAGAAGTGGATTTGGAAAAGCAACACTCAAGCTAAGTACACTTGTAGGGAATACACAAGTGGAGCAGGAGGCTGGGTGCGTTCCGCTGCGGATACACAACTTCATTTTGGGTTATAATTTACTGTTCTGAACTCTTCTAGCTGGCCACTGTTTGGGGGATCCGAGCATGCCAAGAATACCAAGTAATGGGGTGTTCTGGATGGGACCACTCTCAAAACACTCTGGTGTAGCTCTGCTGTTTCACAAAGAGTAATTAAACACAAACAGGAAAGCAAGAAGAGTGTTAAAGACCCTTTGCTTCCAGAAAATCCTAGTAGGGAATTTGGGATTATTTGGGGTAACCTTCTCAGTGAGAACAGCCCATGCAGTTTTCCTTTGCCTGTGCCTGAAGATCCGGGTTGTTAACCCTGCCCAGCACAGGGGGGTTGGAGCTCCATGATCTTTAAAGTCCCTCCCAGTCTAAACCATTCTGCCATTCTATGATGATCCTATGACCAGCCTCATCACCATCACTTCCGGCTCTTGCTATCTTTTCCATCAGTTCCACACTTTGCAAAGGCAATATGAAGCTGAAGACTTATTGTACAAAGCTGATGAAAGCAGATTTGTGCTGCAAGGCCGACAGGATGACCAGGCACCCCAGTCACTGATAGAGCTCCTGCTTGGGACACTTGCTTTGAACCCCCAAGAGGTTTTAAGGGTTGAAATAACAAGCCCCAAAGGATGGAGAGCTTATCCTAGAGCCGTGGATGAGGGGTGGGCATCCTCAGCAGGAGCTGTTGCCAAAATCAGCCTCCCACGATCAGGTGGGGCTTAACTCATGTCCCAGCTGCCAGCTCTCACAGTTCCTACATGCTCCCTGCAGTGCTCACAGGTCAAAGGTGTGGACACTAATGAGATAACAGCCTCATTAGTTCCTCTAGATGCTGCTTCAACGATGCTTGATGCTCTCTGAGGCAAAAATAAAAACTCTGACTGCTTGAAGGAATGCCAGGGATATAAAAGATATTCGGATATTTGCAACAGCCATGTAAGGTGCCATGTGAATCTGCAGTCTCATTTATTTTTCCAGGGTAGTGTGATTGCCACAGAGCACAGCACAGGGTGCCAGCTTCAGATATCACTGGGTCCTTCTATTAAGGCTGAAGCTCATGCTGCCCTACAAACAGGTGCAGTGGAGAGACAGCAGGGAGAAGTTGTCCTCCCAGCCTTCCTCCATCAAAACAATGTCTGGTGTTTAGAAAGCTCAAAGTACACAATCACCTGTTTGTTTGATTGTTTGCTCCATTCTAATTTCTGCAAGCAGACTTCCAGCTTCAAGTTGGAAGCCAGTGACCCTGCACAGAAGGATGGGCTGCCAGCACACTCTCAGGGATGCATTTGCTCATTAGCGGTGATGGCTCCGAGGAACAATGAAATGCATGATATCTCTCGAGTGCTTAAAATAAAAAACAACAACCCCAGCCAAGATAAACCTTTTCATTTTGAAAGCAGAAGAGAGAGCTTTGTGGCAGAAATTGGGTTATGCTCCCATTGTCGTATGCAAGTTATCGCGTTTCAGAAGTGAAGTAGACAAATGTGTCAGCTGAGGCTTTGACAAAGCGGGCAAGATGAATGATGTGCGATTTATGAGCCAGACAACAGCCTATAATGAGTAACAAGGACAACAATTAAAGACTGCAAGTGTTTTAAAAGCTGCCCAAGGATTTTCTGAATGACAAAGAGTATGTTTAAATAGCAGGCTTGGTATCATCACTCCACAATGGTAAGTCAGTGCATTTAAGGGCTCCTGTTGTCAGTGAATTACTCTTAAATTACTGTTTTATTATACCCTTGTTTTCAGTTTAACAACATATTCCATGAAAAGTTCTCAAAAACACATTCAGATGATTTGCATAAGCAAGAAATGACTAAGAGTTAGTTAGCTCCGTGTATCTGAAGGGCACTGACTAAGCAGGACACCTCCGGAATGGCCAAACACATCATTGCTCCCAGCTCTACCCAAGGACTAAAAATAGAGTTTCTATCAAAAATTGATGCTGGGATCCCTGATCTTGCATGGGATGTGACCCAGCATTGGGGTCCTGGAGGAGGAACGGAGCCCAGCACACCACTTAGCAAACCCTCCTAGGGATGGACTAAACTGAGGATGGACTACACCCCAGGTACACCACTGCACCTACTCAGAGCAAGCCTGAAATTGGTTGCCTTGGTGCACATAATGGCTATTTCTGGGCGTGCAGGAAGGGCAAAAAATGCCCATGCAGAGGAACTCTTCCTCAGCGACATTCCCAGAAGAGCTTCCCATTGTTTGCAGTTTCCTGCATCACAGACTGCGGCCCTGGCACTGCTGCAGGGCACAGCTCAGTGGAAGCATCCACTCTTTTTTGCATAAAAAATAGCACTGGGATCTCTCCTGCTTCACAGAGCTCCAGCAGCACATGTATTAGCAGCCCTACAGTCTCTTTGGCCACATGCCATCTTCCAGGGAAGTGCCACCACCAAGAGGCAAACAGCACCCCTATTCTTAATGGCCATTTGTTCCCACGTGTCTCAAACACTTGCCTTGATTT